CCCCAAACTACACATCGAAACGGCATTTTATCTATTTTAGTTTTTGCTTAAAAGATCGTAAGCAATAGATTCCAAGCCCACTTTGCTTCTTTGATAAACTTGGACTTACTACCATGACGTCACGAATATTTAGGTACCAGTACTCTTCAACACGGCCAAAGAGAGACCGGAAGCCCAAATTCTCCACAATTCGGACTTTTGTCACCTCGTAAAATAAAAAAGAAGCACCAGAATCACCCACAAATCTTACCAAACACCTTCTTTAGTTTCTACTTTTATGATTTGATGCTAAAAATAGGCGTCATAGGGACTTTAAAGAATTAGAGTTGACCGAAGTTGTCCGCGTGTTGTCGTCAGCGGGTTGACTAATAGCGTCGGTTGGTTGACCAGTGGTGTTGGCTTGTTGGCCAAAGGTGCCGGTGAGTTGATCAAAGGTATTGGCGAAGTGACTAAGTACCTGCTCTAAGTATGTACATACCTTTCTTTGTGTGAATTTCGAAACTACATAATTAAAGGTCAATTTTATTTCACGATGGCGTCGGAATCAATTGCTTCGAAAGGTGGTGGTTTCAGGTTTCTAAATCTCATTATGTATTCAATGAAACTTAAACACAATTTGCCATTTTAGTGTGTTCGCATGTTGCCTTGGAAGCGTAAGAACTTTCTTGTTTTTGCTTTAATTGGTTGAAAGTGCTCTGTTAATTTTCATAAATTCTGACCAGGATTTCTGATAAGGTATGAGAAAAAGGGAATATTATCAGTGCGGTATTTTTGTACTGATATTCACATCGATAATATCGACGATTTAAATGGCAGCTTCGAAGAATATACCAGCGATTGCGATGGGCCCATTTACAGATAAGGATTGTTCATTCTTTCTCACTGAATATGCGGTCGCTTTTTATTGAAAACAAGTACCAGGCTCCAAACGTCTTGAACTAAACTGGTTCTGTAGACGTTGGAGCAGCAAGGGAACAGTGTATCAAAGACGAATCTCTTGTGATCCGAGACTCTCTTTGCCTTCCAAATAGTGGGGTTACTCAGATCCTACCGTGTAACTGTCACTGAACAACTGCTCGGCCGTGGAAGACCTGGGTACGAGATTGGGTCACACCAGCTAATTCCCGCTAACGTTCCAAATCCTAAGATTTGAGCCCGCAGTAAAAAGTACGGGGAAGGCCGGTGCATGTACTCCTTTTTAAGTTACAATGTATTTATCTTGGGTTATGTAACCCTTTCTTTGGGGTGCTGCATGGTATGTTGTTACAATTGCTTCATTAGTGGCAGGCTATATTTTCGAATTGTTGTCATTTATTTTCATTTGCGTCTTACGACCGTCCCTACGAGCCCTAAAATGAAATATCCAGTGACCAGGGGTTATCAGTTTCTCTTAGAAGTAGTTTTTGTATATACGAACATAGTTTAGATTGCTTAGGTATTTCTTGCCATACTTTTTACATTTCCGAGTTTTCATTTTATTGATGTATCATTCCTATGCATTTTGTTGATAAAGACATGATAAAGAAAGTCGCATACGGCTCGTGTTGACACACCGCAATTGTGGTTGCTTATTGAATAATAAATGTTTTGTTCTCGTTTGAGCGGGGTAGCGAATTAGAATATAATATCGATTATTTTAGGACCAGACAACCACTTATTCTTGCAAGTCCTATACCATTCAATTTGTAGGTCAGTCGCGGGTCAGCTATTGCGTCTACCAATCTATCAGCCAGTCAGCCTGTTAGTCAGTCAGTCAACTGTCACCCAGTAAGTTACTCAGTCGGTCCGAGTCAGACGTTCAGAGCCAGCCAGCTAGTCAGCCAGTCGGTTAATTAGTCAATTAGTAAGAGGGTCTCACTGGGGTAATGGCTTTTACGGCTAACGGTTAAAAAATTTGGCCATTTTACGACTAATGGTTGATATCATTTAATTTTTGACACC